GGGGAGGACTGGTTGAGGACTAGGGGAGGACTGGGGGAGGACTGGGGGAGGCTGCAGCGGCTCCTCTCCCACTCTTCCTTTTATGGCCTGGTTCGTGGCGCTGCTCGCTCTGTCAGACTTTGTTTTACTTTGCAGATTAAAAGCGTGGAAGTGTCCTGGAGCTGCTCTCCTTTTAAGCAGCTGCTCGTCTTCAGCTGCTTCGCCCTGATTTGGGTAAAAAGGCTCCTCAGCCTGCAGCCTGCTGCTTACAAACACTGGAAACTAGTTTTACAGTCCGGCTGCAGTTACTGACCAACTACTGTAGGCTGTGAAAACATGACGTGTGGTTTTGATTAGAGCCCAGCAGCACTGTGAGAAAATAACCTTTAAACAGTCTAAATGAATGCTGTTATAAAGGGAAGGGAACTGTACAGCCTGCTAATGTTAGCATAGCATAGCCTGTTGGCTTTCTGCCAGGTGGTTCAGGGACCTTCTTCATGAAATGTATGGCTGCAAGAAAACCACTCTGAGTTACTGGTTCACATAAACCTGTTAGGTTACAAACATTATTTTGACCAGTCGTGTCAGCATGTTGGTAATTAGATCAGCTCATTGTGTGTGATTCAAACTCTGTCACTTGATTTAAATTTACAGTTGCAGCAGATTATTTTGCTTGATAGCTTCATATTTCTCTACTTTGAGCTCAGGATGTCACGTCCTTAAAACATTTAAAATTAGTGTTTTATGCTATCAATTATCAAGTAATCGGTCATTAAAATATCTTTGCTCTTAGACAAGAGACTAATCCTTTAACTCTGGATAGTTCACTGGTTTAACCGAATTTAACTTGAAGTTGTCTGAACTGCAAAAGATTGATGCAAACTCTCATGATTAGTTTTGTTGAGCCTAGACGTCTGTTTTTAGAGTGTAGCTCCCTCTGTGATGACAGAGCTGCAGTAGCTGCTCAGACTATGTGGTACATACTGGTACATACTGGTACATACTGGTACATACTGGTACATGGTATAATGCTGTAGTACCTGGCTGTTCCACTGGGTGGAGCCGCTTCCTGTTTACTGCTTCCATATTGGCGAACAGAGAGCATTGTGGGCGTTGAGCCAGTAAAGGAGCACAGTGGCTGAGACTGTATGAGGCCTGTTGAGCTCAGGCCAGTGAAGCTGTTTTAGTTCATGCTGAAATAAAGAAGGACAGGAACCTTTTGTCTTGGTAGAACTTCTAATGGCCTGTTTCGATGTCTCTGTGGTAACAGATGTGAATACAGAGTCTCACATCGTTATCTGTGGTTTTAGACAACTTCCAAATCCTCCTGATTGGCTTCGATGCGTATGAAGTCAGATTAACAGAGTGCAGGTCTGAGAGGACCGTAATCAGACACACTTCTGCACTTGTGCATGACACTCTGGTTTCCAGTGCAGACAGAAGCAGCAGAAGAAGAAGGAAAAGAAGAATGTGAGACAGGCGAAGAGCGTCTCTGATGACCATTTATGGACAATCTAAAAATAGCTGCTCATGATGCAGGAAATAGTTCCTGCAGTTTGTTGTTTATTCTGATGGCTGCACACGGAGAGAAGAAGAAGATACTGAGGAGTCTGTTCATGCTGTCAAGAAGCTTCTCATCCTGTATTTGGGCCTCATTGCCAAACATGTCTGGTTCTGCTGGGGCTCAGCTGCAGTGTTATGGTGTCAGAGATGTTTCTGCTCCAGTTCAGACAATATTTTGCGTCTCCAGAAACACAACATGAGCATTTTCAAACAAACTTTTCTCGGATAAACTCAGAAAACAAAGTGATTCTGAGTCACATTCTGTCGTTGTTCTCTGATCTGCTGCAGTGTATTTAGTCCACTGGGGGGCGCTGCAGGAAGCGTCCTCCAGCAGAACCTCTTCTGACAGTTTGTGTTTCTGCAGGTGAAGCCAGAATAAAGAAGCCGACTGCGAAGACTCCTCCCAAACAAGGTACTCACCTGCACCCTTTATAACAGGCCAGCTGGACCTCTGCTGCTCTGATGTAACCCGGTTCTACCTGCTCCTCCACCTGCAGCTGTGTAGAGCTCGTCTGTAGTCTGGTGTCCAGATGAGGTCAGACAGTAATCAGAACCTCATCATGGAAAAACCACTAATGGAACAAAGTACGGAGGAGGAGCAGTGTTCTGTTTCAGCACCAGACGAAGTGTTTTTAAGAAATGTAGAAGAATCCTGACTGATCCACGTCAGCAGGGGGCGCTGCAGCTTTTCCTTTTTTACTACTTACAACTGATTATTGATTATTCCATATCCAGAGTAAAGAGGTCGGTCATCTGTGATTTGTGTTGCCTTCATGCGTCTTTAAATCGTTAAAAATAGCATGAGGTCAGGCGCCCCGGTAGCTCGACCGGGTCAGACGGCGTCCCATGAGCGAGGCTCTAGTCCCTGACGCAGCATCGTGGGTTCCACTCCCGACCACGACCCTTTGCTGCAGGTCTCCCCCGTTCTTCTCCCACTTTCCTGTCTCTCTCTCTGCTGCTCTGCTGATTAAAGGCAAAGGCCCAGAAATAAAAATCATTTTAGAAGCAATAACATGAAGTCTGGAGCTGAAACAGAAAAAGCTGACGCTGCTTTGTTTGCTTTGTGTCATTATTGAATATTGATTATTGGTGTGTGTGCAGCCCTGCCTCCTCAGATCCTGCAGTTCCCAGAGGACATGAAGATCCTGGCGGGAGAGAAGGTGGAGATTCTCTGCAAGTTCTCTGGAGCTCCGCCCATCAACTGCACCTGGCTGAAGTTCAGGAAACCAGTGAGACACACACAGACACACACTGACAGGGCTCCCTGATCACTGATCCATCAGGTTGGACACTGATGGTGTGTGATGTTGTGTGTCTGTCAGATCCAGGGCTCGGCTGACATCTCCATCTCCAGCAGTGACAGCAGCAGTAAACTGACCATCAGCAGCGGGCAGCAGGAGCACTGTGGCTGCTACACCATCGAGCTGAGGAACAGCTTCGGCCTGCGACAGGCTGCTCTCAACCTCACCATCGTCGGTAAGAGTCGGCTCAGACTCAGTCACTGAGACGCAGAAAGGACTCGTTGCAAACTGCTCGAACCTCAGCATGTCAGGTGGTCTGATCTGACCGAGGCTCACTTTGATGTGGAAAAAGCTAAAAGGTGCCTCCAGATCAGAGACGTTATTCTGTCAGACAACAGCTCATAAACATGAAGAACACAGAAACTGAAACTGGCTGCTGGTGGAGTCAGTCTCACAACAGACAACTGAACAGCTGCAGCTGGGCTCCGGTTCTGATTTTAACTGTTGAATCGGTTGTTCATTAGCAACACAAGAAGTTAAAAAAACACCATTAAACAGTGACATAATAATAGTAATAATAGAAATCCATCCATCACCTCTACACCTCTCAACCCTGTGTAGGGTATATGGAGGGNAAGCTAATGCAGCTCTCTGATCATGCCAAGCTAATGCAGCTCTCTGATCATGCTAAGCTAATGCAGCTCCCTGATCATGCTAAGCTAATGCAGCTCTCTGATCATGCTAAGCTAATGCAGCTCTCTGATCATGCTAAGCTAATGCAGCTCCCTGATCATGCTAAGCTAATGCAGCTCTCTGATCATGCTAAGCTAATGCAGATCTCTGTCAGTCACATACACGAACAACTGTTCACCTTCTGAACCCGAAGCAGCAGTTTCTGGGTGTTTTTCGTGTCTATCTTCACTGAGGTTCAGCTTTCAGCATAAAGTCCTGCAGCTCTGTGGAACCAGAACATGAAGAATGAGAGAGAACTCAGAGACGTCCTTTGTCAGCAGGACTCAGTTGGAACCTTGGAAACCAGAGAGAAGAACATTTCTTTGTTTTTAGTGTTTTTGTTTTTCTTGTTTTTTTAATGGATAAAAAGAATTCTGGGATCATGATTCTAAATGTAAGAACCTGGAACCAACATGTTCCCTCAGATGTTAAACCCTGGAGCTCATGT